TAGAATTTTCATTTGATTTTTATTCTAGTTCTCTAGTAGTAGTCTTCATTTAAATCTATTTTCTTGATCATATTATCAAGGTAGTTTGGGAATCCATGTTTGATAACTCCAATATCTGAATCTTACTATGGGTTTGGTTTTTTGTCTTAGTTTTTGATCATTTGGCCTTGTCTCCTTGCATGCCTCATAATTTTTATTAAGTGCTAAACATTGCATATGAAAAATTATGGAAACTCTGGAAGATAATACCTTCCCCAAAAGAAAGTTACATTTCTTCTGCCGAGTGGTGATACTAGAGGTAAATCGCTTTGAACCAATAAGGGATTATTGGATGACAAATCAGGATCTATTTGGTTTGCCCATCCTCTAAGGGAGTAGCTTTTCAGAAGTCTTAGTTAAAAGCCTAGTGTGTTTACCAATGATTCTCATCCTTGATGGACCATGAACTCCAATTTTCACCTCCCTACTACTGGGAGATTGCCAAAAGCTCTGCTTCATTTCTTGTCTTCTTAGCTACCTCCCTGTGTTTCGTTTCTCTCACTCTCACCCCACCCAGCTTAGGTATCACCAAACTCCTCAAAGGTTTTAATTGTCAGCAATGTCAGGATCACTCCTCTGTGGTTCTCATAGCTGTAGGATCTTTGCTCCTTGGGTTCTAGCTACCTTAGCCCTGAACTCCAGTTGCTGTCTCCCCAGCCCAATGAGACTGGAAAACCCTAAGCTATTCTTTTTTCTTCTCTACTTAAAAACTGTCAGGTGTTTTGAGGGGAAAAGTGGTAGAAGTCAGACTTAACTCAGTCCATGTCTCATCTCTCTGTGATCTTGGGCCCTCAAGCCCTCCCTTGGTTGCTGTCTGATACCTTAAAACGATGTTTTATAGCTTTTATTTTGTATTGTGATAGTGAGATTGAACCAAAATTACAAACTATCCCATCATAGCTGGAAGGTGATCTCAGTTGAAGAGTTTACTACATACTAGGAAAAATGGTTTATTTTTATTTTCTCCAATATTGGAGAAAAATGCAACTCTAAACCATATTAAAAGGAAGATTCCAGATGAATTAAAGACTTAAGCATAAAAGTTAAAATTCTAAGTGAATATGGAAATATAAACAAAATATGGGCACATTTTAATATCCTAGGGTTAGAGAAATAATTTTACACCTAGGGAAAAAATATTGGGTAAATATATTAGAAATTTTTTGATTTCCAAAAGCCATAAGTAAAGAAAACAAATGAAAACTTAAGGAATTTATAGCATCTAAAACCAGCAATGAGCTAGCATCTAGACTCTACAGGGCATCCAGCAAATCAGCAAGAAAAGACAAAAAGAAAACCCAATAGAAAAATGGGCAAAGATAAAAGATATAAATAGACAGTTCCTAGAAACTCTCATGTCCCACAATTATGTGACTATGTGCTCAAACTCACTAGTAATCATAGAAATGCAAAGTAGAACAACTATATCACTTTCAGTCCATTAGTTTGACAAAAATTAGAAAGCTAGACAATGCCAAATGTTAGCAAGAATTTATGAAATGAGAACACTTATGCACTTTTTTAGAAAGTAGGCTCCATGTCCAGTGTGGAACCCAGTGTGGAACCCAGTGTGGAACCCAGTATGGGGCTCAAACTCACAACCCTGAGATCAAGGCTTGAGCCAAGACCAAAAGTTGGATGCTCAACCGACTGAGCCACTCAGGTGCCTCTGACATATGTACTTCTGATGGAAATCTAGATTAGCACAGGAATTAATGAGGAACAGTCTACTAGTACTTGGTCAAATTCAGTTCATATACACCCAATGACAGAAATTATCCTTGCATATATATATATATATACATTTTAAGAATGTGTGTGCACGTAAACACACATATATAGATACACGTTTTATATATATATGTATCTATATATGTGTGTGTGTGTGTGTGTGTGTGTGTGTGTGTATTTTAATGAAGATGTTCATTGCAGCATTGTTTATAGTAGCTGAAAGGTAAAGCCTTCCTGGATGTTTATCGCTAGGGCAATACATAAATACAACTGAGTGACCACACAGTATGGAATTCTTTTTTTTTTTTAAGATTTTATTTAATTATTTGACAGAGACAGAGATCACAAGTAGGCAGAGAGGCAGGCAGAGAGAGAGGGGGAAGCGGGCTCCCCATTGAGCAGAGACCCCGATGCGGGGCTCAATCCAAGGACCCTGAGATCATGACCTGAGCCAAAGGCAGAGGCTTAACCTACTGAGCCACCCAGGCGCCCCCAATACAGAATTCTAACTATAAGCTAGATGACTATTCAGCAATGTGTACACATTATAGAATCATGGTGCAGACTGGAAAGAAAGAGCCTAATAAATAGGACAAGATCTCATGCATAGCTCTATTCACGTAAATTAAAAACACAAGTCACACATAAAACAATACAACATCACTTTATAAGGGAATGCATTTACATATTTAATACATTAAAAGTCTCCGTCCAAGATGGAGTTGAAAATGAGAATATATGGGAACATTTAAAAAATTTTTGTTTGAAGAAGCTAATCATCCAATTATAGATTTCCTCCTTCCCTGTCTCCCTTCTATCTCTCTTTCCTTGCACCCTTCTGCAGGTAGTAACAGGATGAGAACAGAATGACCATGATTCTGGGTCAGGTGTTGTGGGGGAAATGAGGTGATTTCCATGTTGGCCTGGCCTTCAAGGATGTTAGGCAAAAGTCAAAGGGGAGCACAGCAAAAGCTTTCCTTAGCAGTGCTCTGTCCAGGGCTAGAACTCACAAGCACCTTCCTGCTCTGAGTTCCTGAGAAGGACAGCAGCACTTCGTAAAGTAAATAAGCAACGCGACCAAGCCCAGAAGTCACAGTGCTCCTTCTTTCCCCATCAGGCAAATGTTTACCTGCTCACAGAAAGATACAAACACTAGGAGCTCACTTGTGTGGAATTCTCTCATCAGATTAGAAAGTGTATATAAAGTACTTCCTGTGTGCGGTCCTGGCATAAGAGATTTCTTTGGTGTTTTTTTTTTTTAAATCAGTGTTTCGGGCCCACAAAGTTGTAGTGGCCACATCACAGTGGTATGCCTACCAGTAAAACGGGAGTTGGCAAGCTTTTTCGGCTGATCGCTAAATATGTCCAGCTGGGCGGGTCTCTGTCACAACTACTGTACTGAGAAGGTGCGGTGTGAAATTAGCCCCAGACGATCCAACCAACCAACAGGCAGGACTGCGTTCAGAGAACACTGCTTGTGGACTTAACTGCAGTTTTCACAGGTCTTGAAATGTTATCCCTTTTTCTATTTGTTTCTAACCATTTCAAAACATGAAAGCTGGGACACCTGGGTGGCTCCGTCGGTGAGGCATCTGACTCCCGATTTCAGCTCAAGTTGTGATCTCAGAGTTATGAGATCGAGCCTCGTGTCGGGCTCCTCGATGGGCGTGGAACTGCCCGAGATTCTCTCTCTGCCCCCTACTCCCCTTCTCTAAAATAAATAAAAAATAATAGACAATAAAAATGTGAAAGCCATTCTTAGCTCATGGTTCCCACGAAAAGATGGGCGGAATTTGGATGGACCGCAGGGTGTCCACCCCTGAACTAAAATATTACAAACTCAGTTGAGGTGCCCAGGATACCACTTCCCAAAGTGCCTTCCCCCCACCATTCCCAGAGTCAGCCATTCTCTGAAATTCGTATTTTTCATCCTATACATACTATTACCTGTGAAATGATATCCTACTTTGGATACCCTTCTGCCCCTCTGCTCAGGACTCTGTCTGTCCTGCTGTGTGTGGAGCCCCAGCTTGGTCTTTTTCACTCCTGTATGATATTCCACCATGCGCACACACCACCTTTAATTATTCTTTCTCGGGAATGTGTGGACGTTTAGGTTGCTCCCCACAAAGACCTTTCCTTGCAGGTACCACCTGTTTCCTTCCTCACCATGACCTTTCCAGGGAGGTACTCTAACAACCCCATTACCCAGATGAGCCAGCTTTTCATTTAAGCAGTTCACTAACTTTCTCAAAGTCGTGAGGAGCGACACCAAAATTTGAATCCATGACCTTTTCATGGTGGAACCTGAGTTTATAACCTCTTTGCCATCGGTCGGTATGTTGTGTTTTATTAAAGTAATGATAACTGATTCTCCCAACGATGACCTCGCAATACTGATGTGCGTAGTCTTTCTCTGAGGACACCTTGAATCAGCGCCAATCATTACTGCTTGTAGTTTAGCCCTTTGGAAACCGCCAGGCGTGGTATCATGCACACGAACCAGAAACCTCACTTCCTAACCACGGCGGATAGGAATTTAGGAGGAATAACTACCAGCCACGGTGCAAGGACTGAACAGTTTTCAATAAAAAAATGAGAAAGACCCAGGAGACGTGTCCCACATTTTCCCTGCCCTCCATAACATTTTATCAATGCCGTAATTCAGGAGCGAGTGTTTCCTTCCCCTTGGTGGGGACCAAAGTGATGGGCTGGGAGTTTGGCCACCAAGAGGGACTTGTTAAATGTTGTGAGTGCCTTCTGAGCCTCTGTCTGTCCATCTAACTAACATCATGTCCATTTTTCCCTCGAAACTGCAGTCAACTCCCTCCGCTCCCTAAGCCTCTGCTTTGGGGAATCCAAACTCCAGCTCTCCCTCTCCGCCGGTCTCTCCCTTCCTCTGCTGGGAAGGCTCCCTCGCTCTCTCCAGCTCATTCAGATGCCATTTAAGAGAGACCGGAATACAATTTTTCTAATGGCAAAATACCGTATGAAGGAGGGGAAAGTTTTAATCAAGTGGGTGTATTCTCCGGAGGGGAGCAAGTACTTGATTTTAATTCCTCATTTCCCTTTGATGAAAAGTTTAGTGAATTTTTATTATGTAGAATTTATAAGACAGCCGGGTTTAGGTAATCAGCTTTAATATTTATACTCTTAGGGAAAGAAATAGGAATCATTAGTAGGCATGCATAATTAATGAATAAATTATATTTCCCTTTGTTTTCTTCCAGGTACAAGGAAATGCTAGAACTGGTGATCTCACCCAGCCTCACTGTAAACCTCGATCGTCCGGGTAAAGCGAAGCTTAACTGTGCGGATACCGATGTCTGGACTCTGAGTGACGTAGAAGGTAGGCCTCCCGGTGTGAGTGTTGGTGGGCCTGTGGTGGTCGCACTCGCCCCGCGGAATTTAGTTAAGGGACCAACAGCCTTCTACACGTGTCCTTTCCCAAGTACCGTCATTATGACAATCTGTCCTCTTGCCGCTGGGATTGTTGCCTCTGGACCCGAACTTTGGCGTGCATTGCTAACAATGCTGTCCTGTCTAGTCATTAGAGGGGCAAGTGTGCTCGTTCGTGTCCCAAACTTCCTGTGCCAAGAAATGCTGACACCTCCTGGGACGATAGGCAGTTTCGGGTGTGTTCCAGGGCCCGGCCCTGGGTGTGTCCCGCAGGGTCAGGGCTCCAGCTCCGAGTCTGTCCCCCAGCACCGTCCTGCCATCACGCATGCTGGCGGGCGATTTGTTTACAAAGGTTTGACGCTGGGACAAGAACTCATCTGCCTTTTGCTTTCGGGTTGGGTTAGAGTCAAGGAAGCAGAGGAGAGTTAAGCTGTTTAAAAAATTATTGGCAAGTGATGCAGCCGAACTAGTTTTCACTAGAACAATTCCAGCTATTGTTTGCCCTGTTTGGGATCTGTCAGCCCTCCTGGGAGAGCTGGGAGGTAGCAGAAGGCATTAAGCTATTATGTTTAACCATTGGACTTAACCCTTTACATGGCCAGCTTTGGGATTTGACGCGGATGTCCTGAGATCCCAGGCTGTCTCTCCCTCCCTGTCTGTGTTTGGTGACGGTTTAAGGGACAGAAGTGCTACGTTACCATCGTGGAAAACCAGAGACTTGTGTCTAGTCAAATACAGCATTGCCAGGAATTTGGTCTTAAGCAACTCCAGGCCTCCAGGGAGTAATCCTTGCTGTCACCAGGACAATGACATTTCCCTTGCATGCTGGTAATGAAGCTGGGACAAGCCCACTCAAAGACCACCAGGAGGGTCTGGGATTTCCCCCCACCCCCCGACCAAACCACATGCTGGAGAACACACCCTCATTCTTCTTGGCACTTTGGAGTGTCTATGTTGACCCCTCCTGGGCTCTTTGAGAGTTGGAGACAGTTTATTAAGCCCTTACTCTCTTCTTTCCTAGTGGAGGCACTCTTCAACCTAGGGCTTTATTTCAGAGCTGGGAGAGCTAGGCGGAGGAGAAGGAGGAGGATCCTAGGCTAAACCCCGGACCCACTGCTTCCCAGCCAGATGGCCTCCAGCAAATTGTTTCACCTTTCTGAGCCTCCATTTTCTCACCTGTCAAATGGGGGCATAGTCACGACCCACTTCATAGCATGCTTACTGCTGCCGGCCAGGGTTGGTACTAGGACACGTGGTACCAGAGTTAAACGTAGCACTGCATGGTCATTCGTTTCGGAGCCAGATCACCACAGGGACTGTAAAACCAGGCTGAAAAACCAGCAGCTCACAGCCAAATCTGGTCCTCATGAAATGCCTTTGTTTGGTTTACACTCCACTTTAAATAAAAGTGAACTTGTAAAAACCAGGAGCGTTCACATAAAAATCTGAATTTCTACTTGCTTTTGATATGCTGAATGCTTTAGAGACGCGGGGTCTACATTCCCACCTGGCTGCCACTAGTGGGAGCTGAGGAGCAGCTGTCCCTGAGATGAGTCCCAGCCACTTCCTTCATCCTTAATTTTTGTGAGCATGTACTTAGTGCAGGCACCGTGAACAGCAGCGTAACTGCAGATTAACCCTCCTCCTCCTCTGCCCCGGCAGAGGAAACACATGGCCCTTGTTGTGTACCAGGCATGGATGTCTAGCTCACTGAATCCCCACACCCCCTGTGGTTAAGCTTTGTGTTACCAATGAGGGAACTGAGGCACAGAGAGGTCAAGAGATCATGAGGTCGCTTGATTGAGACGACACAGTTCAGTGACTGCCAGAATTTGAACCTAAGCCGTCTAACCCTGAAATCTCTTCTCCTAATCAGTACACTATCATGTTTATCACTGAGTTATTACACCTCTATTAGGCTATGAGCCCATCTTACAGATGCATAAGTTGAGGCACAGGAGAATTAAATATAAAGTAAGCGGCCCAAAGACACACAACCAGTGGCAGGGTCAGGAAACAAACCAAGGCACTCTGGCTCCAAAGTCCCCACTTTTTTTTTTTTTTTTTTAAAGATTCTGTTTATTTATTGGACAGAGAGAGAGATCACAAGTAGGCAGAGAGGCAGGCAGAGAGAGAGGAGGAAGCAGGCTCCCCGCTGAGCAGGGAGCCCAATGCTAGGCTCAATCCCAGCACCCTGGGATCATGTCTGAGCCGAAGGCAGAGGCTTAACCCACTGAGCCACCCAGGCGCCCCCAAAGTCCCCACTTCTAAACCTCAGACTCACTTTCTCCCAAGCCCTGAAGAGTCCTCAGACCCCAAATTATTTGTCCCCCACAGTGGTAGCACCCACAGACTGTCTCTCTCCTGTCCTCACCCTTTCTAGCTGCCCTGGAGCAGAAGCTCCCAAATTCAGAGCAGGCAGAGCCAATAGGGTCAGGTTACACGTGTGCACGGGCACACACACACTTTTCTTTCTCTTGAGATGGGCAATGCGCTCCTGGGCTCTGCAGGGAATGTTCTGCCCTAGCTGTGGCCTCTAGTGCCAGGTTGCCAGGTTCATGAGCTGCCCTTCCAGCCTGGCCTTCTGGGCCCTTCCGTGACAGAGTCATTATTGACTGCAGGGGCCCAGATCCAGGGAGGGCCCGGGGGGTGGGGGCACAAGCCAGGGGGCCTCCATTCAGGGTGTTCTGGAAGGAATCTGAAACCCAGAAATCCTCGGGTGGCTCCCACTGCATTCGTGCTGCCTCTTAACTGCCTGGGCCGCCCCCCTACCCCCACCAGCGTGGTCACCCAGCCTCTTTGGAATTTCTTTGCCTCCTCTGTTAAAGGGGAGTAATTGTTCCACGGACCATGTGAGGATGAAATTGTTAAAACATGGAAAGGGCTAAGCTTTTCTTAAAAAGCATAGAAAACGATCTAATTTCCTTCCTTTCGGCCACCAGGCTCGCCTTGTCTGTCGCCGCCAGCCTCTCCGGCTCGGCTCCTCCCCATCCCCTTTGCTCAGCAGACCTAGCCTTGGCCTTGTTTCTTTTGCTGTAAATCAGGAGCGTGATGCTGCCCTCGGGGCCTTGGCACATGCTGTCCCCTTGGCCTGGACCAGTCTCCCCATCTGTGGGGCCATCCCTCAGCCTTCAGGGCTCATCAGAGAGGTCTTTTCCTCCTCCTATCAGAATTAACGGTTCATTCACTCATGCAACAGGTGTTTCTTCAGCCGCCTGCCCAGCTTTGTTTTAAGCACTAGAAAGTCAGCATACAAAGGCCCCTGCCTTCCTGGAGTCTGGCCCAAGGGGCTTGCAGGCCAGAGGCTGATAATAACAGTAAATAAGCAAAATACAGAGCATAGCAGGCAGTGATACACGTTGTGGATGGGGGAGGCAGGGGGGAAGCTGGGGAGGAGGATGGGGAATGCAGGGGTGTGGGGATGTCCCTGGGAAGATAACACTTGAGTAAAGACCTTAAGGAGATGAAGGAGGGTGTTCCTGTCAACGAGGAAGGAGAGCCTCGGATGCAGAGGGAACTACAAGTGCAAAGGCTCCGGGGCAGCCTTGTCCCCAGAGTGTCTGAGAGTGGTAAGGAGGCGGCATGGCTGGAGCCCAGTGAACCAGGGGCCGTGGGGGAGAGGAGGTACGGACAGTGGCCAGGTTCAGACCTTGAGAGCCACAGGAAGGACCTTGGCTCCTACCATGAGTGAGATGGGAGCTCTGGGAGGGTTTGGCACAGAGGAGAGACCTCTGATCTGTGTATTGACAGGACCCCTCAGGCCATACGTGAGAATGACTGGGTGTGGGGACCCACGGGGAGCCCACGGACCAGCGAGGGAGGCGTTGCAGTAACCCAGGTGAGAGGCGCCGGTGCCTTGGACCTGGGCAGGGAGAAGGGGCAGATTAAGGACCGGATTTGAGGGCAGAGCCGACAGAACCTGCACCCACATTTTTCTGTGTCCTGTTTCCTTTTCTTCATCATCCTTCTTTGTCAGAAGGCACGTGTTTGTTCGCCTGTTGTGTATTGTGTCCTCGGCCCGAATGTCAGTTCTCAGAAGGCAGGCGTGGCCCACCTCAGTCACCTGTGTGTCCCCCCTGCTGACAACGGTGTGTGACGCCTCGTAGGTACTTCAGAAATCCTCCAAATGAGGGAGGACCGTGAGCGCTCCCCTCTGTCGGACCCGTGCACCTTCTCACCTCACAGTCCTCGCCACCCTGTACCCCTGCGAGAGCCCTTCCTTTTCCTCTGTTTCTCTGTGACACGTTGGTTTCTGCTCACCAGCCAATACACAAACACACAATCCTTACAAAGACTTGAAACACTGGGCCACATCTACCCGAGATCGGTGTCTCTTCCCTTCCCCGGAAGTAACCACCGTGACCTGTTTTGTGTGTCTGTCAAGGCCGTTCTGTAAGCAGTCACATCTGTATCAACATGTGTTTATGTGACTTAGGTGTGTATATTTTTATATATTTAAACATGTATGTTTACCATAGAGATTACAGTATCGCTGGAAAAAAATCAAATACAAATCTATCGCTTATATAATACATATTTGTTATAACTTGCTCTGCTCACTCAGGACCCATTAAGTAATGATTTACCTCTTTTTTGTTAGACCGAATGACACACCAAAGAACGGCGGTGCCCGGTTCATGAAGCCGTCCCCCTGGGGAGGAACATGAGGTTATCTGTAATTTTTTGCTCTTACAGACAACGCTAGGGGTATCGTCGTGCATGCTGCTGTTTGAACACGTGTCCTGCTTCTCTAGGCAAGAGGCTGAGAGGTGGAGGGATGATGTCAAGGTCTCCCTTCCCTGGCCTTATAGACTCCCCCCTCAGCCTCATCGCAAAAACCTCCCGAGCCCCTCTGGCTGGTTGGTAGCTTCTCGCCATGCGGTCAACAGTTTGTTTGATGCACCTGCTGGGCACGAGGCCCTGGGGAACCCCCCACCCTCACTGCCTGCC